GGGAACCCAGCATCACAAGGGTGGAGAGTCCTTTCTCCACTCTGAGGGTGTATTTTATTTCATTTTACTTTTTACAATTAAAAGAAAGAAAAAAGTTAACAAAAGTACACAGGGATAAATCATTTCCATTTTACATATGAGGAAACTGAAAGAGTTGTTAAGTATATATTTCACGGTCAAGGTTAGCAAGTGACAAGTTTGGTCTTAATCCAAATATTGATGCCTGCCTCTTACACCTTGCATTTTGCTTGCCACTGTTAATCATGACATATACCATTATTAGTTCCTGATAATCTTCCACTTGGCAGGTGATTTGTGTACAATGTCATCTGATTCTCACACTATTCTTTCAGATGGTTGGTATTATACACATTTTATAAAGGAAGAAACTAGAATCAGAAGGGCTAAGCAATTTACCCAAGATCACGCAACATGTAAATCTGTCTGACTCCAAAGTGCAAACTCTTCCTACTTCACCACAGCTGGGCTTCAGCACAGAGCTAGCTTAAAATTTGATGATTCAAAGGGAAAAGGAATCTGTTTTAATGTCTATGATGATGTATATAAATTTTTCAGATTTTTAAGAATCAAACCTCATCATTTTTTTTACTTACACAAATACCAACTAAACATAAGTTACCAAAAATTTAGATAAAAACAACACAGAAAGAAAATGGAATTTTTAAATTCAAGGTTAAATATTTGGCATAGATTGATCTATCATTCTAGCTAGTTAGCTTCGAGCAATTTGGCAGCTAATGTGCACAAAGTCAGGAAAAACAACAAACAAATTCACTGAACTTGGTTATTTATAAAATAATCACTTGTTCTATATTTTCACTTGTCATCTATCCCTGTCAGTTAAGATGGCAATTTCATGCATATACTTTACTGATTTTTCTCTACAGGGACCCAGACTCAATATTTCACACAGTGCTGCTTATAATTACAAATATTAGAAATTCCTCAAGCTGATAGTGATTCTTCACATTAAAAGTCTCATCAGTTACAACAATAACTTCATCTTTTTTCCCTACTACTGCTATAATTTGTCTTAGCTTACAAAAGAGAAGATCTTTTGTAGGATGACCAACTGTCCAGTTGCCCAGGACTGAAGGTTTTCCTGGCATACAGGACTTTCAATGCTAAAACCAGAACAGGAGGAACATTTAAAATGGTACAAAGTACTGTATAATTGAATACTGGAATTTTTAAAATCTGGGCCTGTAATCTCATTTTTGTCTCCAATTATCCATGTTATTTAGAATAAGGTAATTTAACATTTCTTCTAAAAAGTGAGAATATTAGTGTCTATCTTTTATATATTTTTATAAGATAAAAATATATTTTTATAAGATAAAAAATATATTTTTTTAAGGGAAAGAGAAGTTTCAGCTAGCAACCTTATACAGAGGATTCTTCTAGCTCTGGCCTCTCTTAATTGATACAATCTATGCATTAAAAAGTAAAACACTGAAATTGGGGATTCCCAGTGATTTACGGAGAATAAAATAACCCTAGACAAATTTTTTAAAACTTTGCAGGGTGTGTGATAGAGATCTAACTTCGCTTTCTTCTACATGGGAGATGATTTTTGCTGGGACCAAGTATTAAACTACTCTTTTCTCACTGAATTGAAATGACACATTTACAATATGAACTTGGAACTATGGTTCAACTATCTAATGAGTTCTTTGCCTAGTCTAGCTATGTGTCATTATCATACTGTTTTCATTCAAGAGAGCAGGAGTCTTAGGATTGAAGCCAAGCAAAGATGGAATGTGGGGAGAGATAAGAATGACCAGAGTAAGTGGAAGGAGCCCTCAGTTCTCTGAAGAGTGAACAGACAAGGACTATGGTTCGGTTAATTACAGGTTTTGACGGCTAAAGAAGAAAACAAGTAGTAGGGAAGGCAGTGGGAGCAGAAAGAAACCAAAAACATCAGAAAATTCCATTTTAGGGAGCATGATTTAAGGCCAATATCTCTCCATTTTAGTTTAATATAAGGACACCAGTTTGCCTAAACTTTATGAAGGCAGCTATGTGTGCTTGTGTGTCACCAAGAGGGTGGAAGCAGTGTCTGCATTTTTTTTTCTAGATAAGTGATCAAACAGCCATTGTCTTGACTCTAGTGCAGACTTCAGTCAAACTCTATCATCCCTTAATTGACAATACACCTCGAGACCATCATCCTTCCTGAATAATGCTTCTTGGCCTGCCTAGGACCTAGGATATCCCATTACTCACACCAAGCAACCAAAGTGCAGTGTTTTAAACCAGTTTCACTGTCCTGCCCACGTCCTGTTAATAACCTAATAACAGAGGCTTGATATCAACACAGTGAAAATCAATCAGTATAATAATGAACCCCTGACTTCTTCATTATTCCATCCTTCAACACCTAGAGAAGTTTTCAAGTTACTCTAAGTGGTGGTGTTGGCATCAAAATATGTGAACAATCATGAAATATCTGCACTTTAGGAAAAAAAAAAACACCCACCTTACTAAGTTGTGCTCTGCAGGTAACAGTCCCCTCCACCAGGGGTCTCTAGCTCACTGACATTATCTGAATCTAACTCTTCATGGAATATACTAAATCGGTGCATCCAACACTATAGGCATGAAGCTATCTAAATTTAAATTAATTAAGATTAAATAAAATTTAAAATCCAGTTCCTCATTGCACTAACCACATTTTAAGTGCTCAATATCCACATGTGGCTACTGATTTCCATATTGGACAGTTCAGACATCTAACACTGCAGAAAGTTCTAGTGGACAGTGCTGTAAGAAATCCTGTATGTATATCAATGTAGAAACACAAGTTCAGGATCACACTGTTAAAAGGACAAGGAGGCAGCACCTCTCCTGACTGCCCCAGCTAAGCCTTCAGCATGGTATCTGAATCCTCCCTTTATCCAAGTAGTGTCCTGGGTGGATGATGAAAACGTTCTTCATGATCACATTCAGCATACTTTCTCTGCACAGCCAGCATATTATATCTCTTTAATAATTCATAGATATCACTTCATTTTTTCTCCTATTAAGAAAATCAGGGCCGATAAGAAAGAGAAGCATACTCTACAGCACAGAGAACTATATTCAATATCTTGTAATAACCTATAATGGAAAAGAATCTGAAAAGGAATAGATGTATGTGCAACTGAATCACTTTGCTATACACCTGAAAACAGCACAGCACTGTAAATCAACTATACTTCAATTAAAAATTAAATTAAAAAAAGAAAAATGTGTTTTAAAAAAAAAAAAGAGTCAGAAGATCTTAATTTCATCCCCATCTCTGCTCCTAGCACCTGAGAGACAGAGAGCTGCTGACTCTCTCTGGGCCTGCATATGCTCCTGGATAAAATGAGTGGGGTGACCAGATGTTCTCTAAGACCTAGGCCAATAAAGTGTAGCAAGACTACAATGTGTACTCCTTATAAGAAAAACTAACCTCTGGCCCATACATGAGGTTCCAATATGCTTAGAACATGTGAGCAGCTTCTGCCTCATGTCACAGATGAGCTTTAAAGTCACAGAATGGTGTGGCTTCAGAACAGTTTTGGTAAATAGCATCAGCTAAATGTTTAGACCATTTTAGAAAATAATGGCTATTTTTTAGTATGAATACCATTTTTCCTTATTCCTTTTATTTAAAATGAGATTGTGACCTTAACATAATTGTGACCTCAAGAGATAATGCTAATTCCATTCTTAATTGTGAATGTATCACAACCAGTACATCATGTCAGTGAGAATACAGTATTTCAAAATAATGACGTGGCTTTATTCCAAGGATCTCAATTACAGACAATCTAATGCTGTAGTCATTAAAGAAAAAATCCTTCCTAGGTGGCTCCCTGAGTTATTCCTCTCTATAAGATGTCATTCCTTGAATAGAGACAGTGGATACCACTCTTTTAATATAAATGCATGGGCTCTACTCTTTGTTCTATACACCAACATTTTGAACAAGCGGTTTAAAAAATTTTTTTATTTTAAAGAAAAACATGAGCTGCTTTTCAGGTTTAATGTTCCCACCTCTCTCAAATTTGAGATGAAAATATTTTTGTACATGCGGCTTCTCTTGCAGGTAGCATTCATCCTTCAGTGCGAGGGCCAAACCTTCCCCCACTGCATGTAGCTCATTGCTTATCATGTCTATAAAGCATAGTGGGTTGACTATGGGGAAAATCAATGACAAAATGGAGTGTAAGGAGAGAAAATTGTGGACAGAAGGAAGCAGTGATTAAAATGGAAATGGTGGTCAGGAGCCGCCATTGTTTTACCCAGGTGCTTTGTTGGCAGGCAGAAAAAAAAAAAAAACTTTTCTATCAAACTCCACCTGAATTCTTTCAACGACAATGATGCAAAGAAAATACACCGTAATTATGAGCAGGAACATTATCCATTAATATGTTAATGAAGCAGGTTTGCTAATGGTGAGAGATCTGAATTTTAATAAAATTTTAAGAGCTTCTTGATTACGTGTTTGTTAGTCGATATGATCATTTAAAATTATCTCTAGGTGGCTTTACATGGAATAAAACCTACATTAGAACTGTATTCTAAACAGGCCTTAATGAAGCAGGTGAGGATACCATCTGTGACATAAACACTGTCAGCCAGAAATTCACTTCAAAAGAAATGTAAACTAGTTAACAAGAAACATGTTATCATATCTGCCAGTAACAGCTTTCAATGTAGGTAATTTATTTATGCATTTACTTGCTAATTTTTTCAAACATATTTGCTTGTGAAAATAATGTTCGATTGAATTAATGGATACTGCTTTTTAATATTGGAAGGGTTATTTTTCATTAAAAAGAAAAACAACTCTAGTGTCCTGTTTTGACAACATCCCGTACATAGGATGAAAACTGTTTTATCCACCAAAACCCAGCCGTCATTTGAGAAAAAAGCGGAGCCACCAAAAACCCGAAGTCAAACCAGAATCAGTATAGAAACCTCACTGATGTATCTTTATGAGTGGGAGAAATTGTATTACCTGTTATCCAAGATGATTTTGGCATCAAAGGGACTGCTAATTCCCGTCTGCCTCTCCAGAATGTGGATGAAGGTGCTTGGCGTCATTCTTCATTCTGCGCATTAGAAGCGTGAGGCTCTGATCAGAGGTTGAGCCTGGACTACAACCCAGAGCTTCCGGAGAGAGAGCAGACGCTGAGGCGGCCGAGTGCTTCCCAGGTGTAGTGCATCAGCGCCACGAGCCGCCGGCCCCGAGTCTCTGAAGCGTGAAGGGTGTGTGCCGCCCTGGGCCTGCTTGTATCGCTGGGGGCCGTGGTCTGGGGGTGAGCAGGGCCCGAGTCTTCCCACTAGGTTGGAAGCAGTGATGAAGGTGTTAGTGAGGGAAAGCGAAAATCAATCCTAAAAACCTAGGAAGGGCGGCTAGGAGCCCAGTCTCAAGAGCTGGAAGCACCCACGTGCTTACCGGGCCAAGAATGAAGGAAAGCAAGGGTGGGAGGATGAGGAAGAGCAGAGACCTCCTAATTCTCCCCCTTGTCACTCTGAGACACTATGGAGAGAGGGTGTAGAGGAGCGGCTGCGACAGGGAATCACTTTCGAAGAAGCAACCCCATCTGAGATACCAGAGATCTTCCTCCCGAGCAGAGTGCCTTCAGTAAAGGCGGGGATTCCCCAGGTTTCTTCCTGTCTCAGTTTGTAATGCTTTTTGTTTGATGGTGTCAATGAAACATATTTCTGCGGTAGTTGTTATGAATTGGTAATACTCTCTCAAGTTCTTGATAGGGTTTCTAATGTGATTTTTCGAGGGTCTTTTTTTTTTTTTTTTTCCAGGTCGATAAGAAACAATTCAAGAAGGTAACTGGCCATTTAAATGGCTTCTAATTGGGCCCTGGGTGAGTTTCTTTGAGGGCATACTGCCCTCTAGGGGTTGAAGCACTTGGCGTGGAGGAGGATTTCAGAGGTGGAGGAGCAGTGTTTGAGCGAATGAAGTGCTTTCCTAGGTTTTTTTCATAAAAAACGATTCAATCTTTTCATCCAATTGTATTTCAGCTCTAGAAATATTTTATTTCATAGAAATTATCATGTATTCTAAAGGCTAAATAAAGCAATATCAGGTTCAGTATAATACTCTTTCTCTCACTCTATGTTTTTAAGACTCAGTATTTGCCATGATGTAGGGTGGGTGGGACAGACAGAAAATGTAGAGGCATTTTAAAACCATAATCCCCCAATACCTGATTATTCAGTGCAAATGTCTCTTACCCTACTCTCAGTAGGACCTTCCACATGCAGCCACATTAAACCCAACCTTCAGTTTTACTGAGTTGTTAAAGGACTGAAGTCAAGAAACATCAGAACCTCTGTTTGAACTCGTTTCCTTATTCCAAAATCAGTGCAGTCCCCATCTTGCCCCCAGAAAAATACAGCTGGCTATTGGTTAACTTTTAAACAACTTGTAATTTGACACTTTTCCTTTTAGGCTTCTCTGATTTTGTACAATAATCACGGCCTTAGTTTTATATGAAAGGATTTACAGATTGATCAATAAATATATGACATACCTTTTATCATTTGGCAACACATTTATCCAAAACCTCAATTTTGCTAACATAGCCTAGAAAGGAAACCAAATATGAAAATTAGTATTGTGGCATAGGCCAAGGACCAGAGAGAAAGCCAGGTCCAAGGACTGAGGAAGTGGGCCAGAATACCTTATAATAACAATTGAAAACAAAACTAGAGACACAGGGTAAATAATAAGAAAAATGGCATAAAATAGTTAAACAGTAGAATTGCGACCTCCGACCGCTGGGGTGCTTCATACCTCACAGGAGGACCACTTAGAGAATTGTGGGCCTTTCCAGGTGGGATATGTGCTCCCTTCCCAGAGGCTGCTCCCAGCTGGCTACTTCTCTCCCTATCCCCTGCCCCCTTACCCCTCCCACACTAAACAACATCAACAACAAAGAGGTCAGGGCAGGCTATAAAACTGTTCTTGCTGCTACGGACGCTGTGCTAGTGGAGAGGGAGTTTGTGGTGTGGAAAGCTACAGCATAGAAAAGGGTAATTCTCAGTTATAAACAGCTGCAGATGGCACTTTACACACAGTGTGCCCTGTACACACACACACACACACACACGCACACACACACACACGAGTAAATAACAGCAACACAGCACCTTAGATTTGAAAAGGACTTTGCCAGTTGGTTTTCTAACTCAACTACCTAAAAGGCACAAATCCTTGTCTGAGCTTCCCGACCAGTCCTCTTAACTTTCAGCATGTTCTTCTCTAAATTACATTCTTTTAAATCTGCCTTTATCTTGAAATCCGCTAGTCCTAGCCCTGGCTGGTGCTGGTGGATTTGACAGCAAATATTTACAGCCAGACATATATTCCCTAAGTTCTGGCTCATTATACATAATAATAATAAGGAAGAACCCCACCCCTGTCCCCACTCTTGGTGACCACGCCCCACCTCGTCCCCACCGCCTCTTCCTAGTACGTTGTACGGCGTGCACACCTACCAGCATAGTTGCTTTTCTGATGATGGTGTTGATGTTATCAGTGATTTTCACTCGTTTTTCACAACTCCTGAAAATGTCTCCCTGAAGTGGAAAAAAACAATGCTGACAAAGGTCTAAACAAAAGAAATCAAACTGTGTAGGGTCCTCTTCTTTGGCAAGAAGAACTGCTAGAGAAAGGGGGGGAAATCTGTTATTTAATGATTGAAGTTGCCTTAGAAAACTGTCTGGCATCCTCTCTTCTCTTTTAAAAGATGCAGCTTTTAAACAAACTAGGTATAAATTGATCTTCGTTTGTGTGTGTGTGTGTGTGTGTGAATAGACAGAGAGAGTGAGTCTCTCTCAATTGCTCACTTTGCCTGCTGTCTAACCTAATGCATCCTGCTACAACTTCAGGCCAGTGCCTCTAGTCCAGACCTGAGTCAAATGGACTATAGCTACTCAACACCTCCCTACCCTCGTCCTCATCTCTTTTTCCTTTGTAGGCATGTGAGTAACTTCTTTTCCTATCAAAAGGTTTATTTAGCCTTTGGAGATTTCTTTCTCAAATCTTTTATGAATTTAATTATCTTTCTCTGGAAAACATGGCTTAAGATACAGGTTCAGAAAAATGGAGATGTAATATTCATCACCTCTAATGCTGAAATTAAAGAGGAATATCACAAAATTTATAAGGCGTTAAAAATGTTTATTGTTTCTTAACAACACTGGCTTTCTTATGACTCACCTTCTTCTGCCTAGTCATCCCTGTCCTCATTGTAAACCAGCTTAAGACCACAGCACTCACTATTACTGATGGATGGATTAACCTGTTTGGGCATAAAGAACAAAATGACCCAGAGTGAACTTACTGAGAAGAAATTTCCAAAGAAAATGCTGTACTTTCTCTTCCTTCTTCCCCTGGAGACCAGCCTGGTTCTAATTCAGGGTTAGGAATGAAGGTTTATGATGTCCCCAACCCAAGCCCAACCAGTCATCCCAGCAGAAAAAGGGCTAGAAGCCTGACGCACTTCTCAAACCACTGGCTCAGCTCAGATCCCTCTGGGAATACTTTGAGCTCCTCCCTGCCCCACCCAGGCCTGGTCCTAGAGCCCTGCTGCTTCATTCATCCATATACATTTTACATGGATTTCCTGAACAATTACCCTGTGCCAAGCACCGTACTAGGTGCTGGTTCTACATGGTCCCTGTCCTCATGCCAAGTGAAAGGAGTAACTAGGCAGTTATAGAAGCATGTGAAGAGCTGATGGGGAGGCAGTGAGTGCCACATGACAACTGAGTGGGTCCCAGCTATACTGGGAGACAGGCAGGAAAAACCTCCCTGAGGGGGGATATGTTTGAATCAAGGTCAGAAGGGTCCTTGGACAATAGAACAACAGGTAGTAAGTATGAAGAATTAGAAAGAAAAGCTTGATGTCTTCAACAAACTGGAGGAGATTATGTGTAATTGCCTGTACTGTGTGTGGGGTGGGGTGAGGTGGGGGATCTGGTGAGTGGAGGGCATTAGGAGGCCGGAGTGGCTCACAGCAAGAAATGAGACTTAATAACAGTTACATTCCATGTTAGGAAGTTCGGGCTTGGTACTACAAGTAATGGGTAGCCACTCCAAGGTGTTAAGCAGATGAGCAAATATGATCAAACACACATCACATAAATGTCCTTGTGAATACAGTGTGGAAGGAAAAACGTGAAACTAGATGCAAGGAGGAGACAGCAGGAACCTAGCTGAGAGAAGACAGTGGCCCATACGCTACAGTGGCTCTGGTGCCCGGCCTCTGGACCATGACTGAACTAGAGTCTCCATGAATTGCCATATCTCCCCTCTCTGATTCCTGGATAAAAAAAAAATCTCTGTGAGTTGGGTTAGTTTGCTATTGTTGTGTATTAATCATGTCTTTTGTGATCTGTATTTTATGGATGCTTGGGGCCTTGTGGGCGAGGGAGGGACAGCCCGTCCCAGGGGTAGCTAATTCCTAGAGACAGTAAACAGCTTGCCTGTAAGCATGCCTTCCATGTGCAAACCAACCAATCCAATGCCCATACTTCAAACTACCTCCCCCTATCTGAGTTTTACACTCTAAGAAGCAACAATCTTCTGCCCTAATCACCCCAGGCCCAGGTACAGGACAACTAGGGACCAAGCCTATAGCCTTGAGCCCACTGAAATTATTCAAACTATGCAGCCCTATGATCAGCTGCCTACCCGGCCTTGCTCATTCCTTTCCACAAAAACCATAATAAAGGCTTTTGCCCATACTTTTCCTCTCACTCCTTCTGCCCCTTGACTGACCCTGGTGCTTCCCCATGTGGCCTTGTGTGGTGTGTATGCCCCCTCTTCCTGTAAGCAGTAATTAACAAATTATCTTTTCAACAGCAGTTGTCCCCTGATCTGTTGTCCTCATCATACCTGAATAAAAACAAAATCCTAGGTACATTTTAAAACAAATTGCATTTCACCTGGGTGAGCCCATGCTAAGAAAGTCTTGAGACTCTATGGTTAATTTTCTTTAGACCTAAACTGCTATACAGTTTTACTTAGTGCACTTAAATGTCACCCTACTTATGTCATCTATAGTAGTTTTATAAGTTCTGGAGGAGAGTTAACAGTCTTTTGTGACTCTTATATACAAGTAGTAGTAGTAGAGTTAGAAACCTGGAAATCATTGGGGGCCTTGATGCAGAATTTCAGCAGGAGGTGGAGCCAAAACATATTAGATTAAGTTTATAGGAGACTGAGGAATTTCTCCTTTGACCATGAAGAATTAGCAGCAATAGGAATTATCTTTCAACTGTAAACAACTATAAACTTCATAAAATAGATGAAATAATAGTTTTCAGACATTGGACAATAGGCAGCATAGTGATCACTGAGAGAAGGGAAACAAATGAGATGAGCTTTAGGATTTCCTAGCTTATTGTTTAAAGCCAGTTTCAGGCCATACTGCAAAGAACCTAACACTCCTACTGAGTTGAAGAACATGAAATCAAAGTTTGAGGATACTAAAATGGCTGGAATTCTAAGTCAAAGTACTGAAAAGGAGAGTGGCTTCACAGAGAAAAAGCTCTGAAGATCAGCAGAGGAGTCCTCTTGAGTCTTTGGCTGAGTACTGATTTGCACATAAATGAGAGAAACTGCCCCAACTCTGGGAAAAGAGTAGCCAGAATAATTCCCAGAGATCACTCAGTGCTGGAAGGAGTTCATTTCCCCACCAACCAAAATGGAGAGATTCTATAATACATCTGTTAGAGTTTTCAGAAGGATCATTCTTCCCATCTAGGTACTAACCAGGCCCAATCCTGTTTAGCTTCTGAGATCAGACGAGATCAGGCACGTTCAGGGTGGTATGGGGGTAGACAGAAAGGTCATTTCTTAGTGATGGAACTAAAATAGTTCCTAAAATAGAGGCTGTTAGGGACTCAACAAATCTTAAAATCAAGCCTCAAAAGGATGAAAATGATCCACAAGTACCTTAACTGGGTATCAGAAAAAAATCAACAATCTTTAAAGGAATACAACAAAATCCAGTAGCAAATAAAGCAAAATTCATAATTCTATATCCAATTAAAAACTACCAGAACTTCAAAGAAGCATATAAATGTGACCCATAACCAGAGTAAAAAGCAATTAACAGAGATGGAACTGAAAATGACAGAGCTCATGGAATTAATAAACAAGGACTTTGAAGAATTATAAATCTTATAAATAGGCTCAAAGATGTCAAGAGAAATTAAACTTGATAAGGAGAGAAATGGAAGATACATATTTTTGAAAGACCTAAATAAAACTTCTAGAAATTAAAAAAACTACAATACCAGAAAGTGAATGTGAAGATACCACAAAAGAAATAAACCATGAGGCACAGAGAGAAAAAAACATTGAAAAAAAAAATAGGGGGGAGGGTACAGCTCAAGTGGTAGAGTGCATGCTTAGCATGCACGAGGGCCTGGGTTCAATCCCCAGTACCTCCATCAAAAAACCAACTAAATAAACCTAATTACCTCCCCTTGCAAAAAAAAAATTTTTTTTAATAAATAAACACAACCTTAATGAACTGTGCAACTAATCAATGTCTAATATACTTGTAACTGGAGTCTCAGAAGGAGCGGAGACTTGGGGAAGAGAAAGGGACATAAAATATAATTAAAGAAATAAGAAATAAAACAATCCAAATTTGTTGAAAATTATAAACCCATAGATCAAAAAAATCAAGAAACTCCCAAAGAATAAACATAATTTAAACCAAATTAGGCACATCATAATGAACTTGTTGAAACCCAGCGATAATGAGAGAAGTCTTTATAGCAGCCAAGGGAAAGAGATTCATTACCTAAAGAGAAATAAATAAAGAATGAAAGCAGACTTCCTATCAGAAACCACATAGGCCAGAAGACAATGCAACAACTTTAGAGTGGTGAGGAGAAAAAAAAAACCCTCCATCCAGAACCCTGTACCTCCTGTACCCAGTGAAAATATCTTCCAAACATTAAGTTGATCTATAAATTCAAAGTAATCCCAAACAAAATACTAGCAGGAAATTTTTAAAAAATACAAATTGATAAACTGATTCTAAATGTATCTGAAAATGTAAAAGCTAAAACAATTTTGAGAAAACAAAAACAAAAGCAAAATTTTAGGATTCACACTACCTAATTTCATGACTTACTATAAAAGTAAGTTATCAAAAAAGTGCAGTGTTGATACAAGAAGAGACATAAATCAATTTTGTTTAACACAGATACCAAGGTAATTTAAAAGGAAAAGATAGTCTTTAATACTGGTCTGGGGCTGTTCATCTGTGGTAACAGCTGGGAATACTAAGTATAAGGAAACATACACTGATAAAGCAACTCGCCATCTAGATGGAAAAAAATAAACCTTGACACTTACCTCTTGACAAAAATTAACTTTAAATGAATCATAGACTTAAACTTGAGAGCTAAAAATACAAAGCTTTCAGAAGAAAAGCTTCTAGGAAAAACATCTTCATGACCTTGGGTTAATAAAGATTTCTTAGAGCAAATAAGCTTGAATTTAGAAAAGAGGAAGAAATTGAACTTCATCAAATTTAAATTTTTTCACTCTT